GCTTTTTTGGACGGAAGTCACAGCGGCCACGAACTTGTCTCTAAGTGCGCTTCGTATATGTATGGGAGCGTTCTTGCGAGTTAGTGTCTGCATGTGCATGTACGTGCCTGCATGTGTGTGTGAGTGTGTGAGTGTGAGTATGTGAGTGTGAGTGTGAGTGTGAGTGTGCGTGTGCGTGTGTGTGTATGTGTGCATGAGAGAGAGAGAGAAAGAGAGAGAGAGAGAGAGAGAGAGAGAGAGAGAGAGAGAGAGAGAGAGAGAGAAGGCTGTCATCTGTATAGTGTCATTCTCGTATCGGCGTTTCTGGTGACCACGGTAGGCCACATAGGAAGGCCGTAAATTTTTTTTTTTCTGGTGCTTTCAGCTCGTCCACGTGGCTGTCTTTTGCTCTTCCACGTCACCGTTCTCCCCTTGCACTGGATGCCCTCATACTTTTTTCAGATCCTTTGCGTTCTGCTTTTCGCGACTGTTACTCGTCGACGTTGTGGACGTTGTCGTTCAGGAAATTTACGTAATACCTTCGAGTCTTCGAGTGTGAGACGGCCGTCGATTACCCAAACAGCCTGAGGATCCAACGGTATGACGAATCGGAAGGTGGACTACTTCGGGTTTAAGGACTTCATGAATTCAATAGGACAGCATTGGAGTGAGGATCTTGATGAGGAGAGACCTCCTCCTCCGGTCTGGCAACATCATCAGCATTGGTTCGATAAAGATGCGCTCGTGAAAGAACAGGAACGGCAGACACGTGTCACGAGGATGTACCGCGTCGCTCTACATGGTTCCTTCAGTGGTGAGAACTTGCTGTTTTCCCTCCGTTTGTCTCCGTTATCTGACGTTTTCCCTCCGTTTTTTCCTCAGTCTGTGGAGAGTTGTGGTGGAAGATGATCGTTCTATCGGAAACACGTGAAGCACGCATGGATGAAATTCATGGAGAGGGAAGAGCAGTTGTTCGCCCTCCGTTATACTCCGTTTTTCCCCCCCCTCCCCTTTTCTCCGTTTTCCTCCGTTTTCCGCCGTTTTCCGCTGTTTCCGCCGTTTTCCGCCGTTTTCCGCCGTTTTCCGCCGTTTTCCGCCGTTTTCCTCCATTTTCCTCCGTTTTCCTCCGTTTTCCTCCGTCTTCTGGAGAGTTGAAGTTAAAGATGATAGTTCTAAAGGAAACGCGTGAAGTACGCACGGATGATATTCATGGAGTGCTGAGAACTCTTGTTCGCCCTCCGTTAACCTCCGTTTCCTTCCGTTTCCTTCCGTTCCTTCCGTTTCCTTCCGTTTTCTTGCATTCTCTTGACTTTTCTTGACTTTTCTTGCGTTTTCCTCCGTTCTTCGGACAGTGCTTAACGCTCTACAGGAAACACGAGTCTCAAGGACGTACTATTGTTTTTCACGGATGAAATTCATGGACCTGTAAGAGCTGTTTCCCCTCCGTTTTCCTCCGTTTTTTTCGTCCGTTTTCTTCCGTTCTTTGTTCCGTTTATTCTTCCGTTCTTTGTTCCGTTTATTCTTCCGTTTATTCTTCCGTTTATTCTTCGGTTTTCCTCCGCTCTTTCGGACAGACGAGGTGAGCGATGGAGGTAGTGACGTACTGTATTTCAATCCATGATGGGTGTACCAACTCACCTACCTTCGTCACCCGAATACAACCTACGGGTCATTACTGCTGAATTTAGACTAAAAGATAGTATAGCCCAAATACAGTTATAGTGACCGTAAGTTGTATTGGGGGAAAGAAGGTAGGTCAGACCTGAGATTTTATTCCAGTGGAGGGAAAAAAAAAAAAAAAAAAAAAAAGAATGTTCTACACGATCTTTTCCAGTCGACCGTCGCTTCAACACCCTTTAACATACGAAACTTCCACGAAACATCCTGTCCACGGGTTCCGACTCGGAGGTAGAGTATCAAAAACGGGCGAATTTTTTTTTTTTTTTTTTTTTTTCCCTAAGGTCGAAGATATTGTGCAGAGGACTCGAGCACACACACACGAAGGGCCGCGCCACACCACTGTCGAAGCAAAAAAAAAAGTACGAGTGCATCTTTCCGCAGAGAAAGGCAAGATGCATCTGTTGCTACAAATAGCAACGGATGCATCTGGCCAGTTTCTTGGTTAGATGCATTCGTTCGTTCTTCGTTTCTAAAGTGGTGTGGCGAGGAGGCCCTAAGCATGACGACGACGATAAAATCACACACAGGACACGTCAAACAGAGAATTTGACATGTAGATTTCTCGAAATGTGCAAAAAAAAGTCTTAAGTCCTCGCACCATTAATCTCTAAATGAGCAAAATGAGACTGAATCCTCCTCTAGAACATGGAAAGGTACATTGACATACTTCATCTCTTGTGTGCATGTCGAGAGTAGTGAAGCGAGGCCCATTATTTATGACCTGCCCTTAACTTTTTATTTTATTTTTTTCACTTAGAGTTGTTTCTTCGGCCTGGAGGCATCGACTGATGGCTTTCCTGCGGTTGAAAAGGTTGGGCCCCAAACGGCTTACTCACACTAC